AAACTAAACTGGAAAAGGTTTTGGCATACATATCAACTTTTTTTAGGAGTGTAACTATGTTATGGGCCCAGACTCATTAATCTCTCAATATTTCAGAGAAGCAGATAAGAAATTGTTGTATTCCCATTTTGCAGCAGTTGTTTTTCTGTTTCCCTTCACAGCGACCCCAAACAATATTTGCTATTCCTTAAATAATACAGTCTGCAGAACCAATTAAACCGAGCAATCCTTTTGCCCACTGCTATGGATTAAGCTGAAAGCCTCTGAGTGGCTGAGACAAGAAGTGGCCACATTGCTGCCTTACACTGATGTTGTCAACAACATTTACCTACTAAAGGGATGCAGCTCTGGCCTGTTTTAATTGCTTTAAGTCAAATCCTGTCTCTTGTTGTCATAGTTCTCTGGGAGAAGACAGATCCCTAGGCTAAGGTTTAAATGATTTTAATAAGAACAACAACTGCAATCCTTTAAAGATCAACAAAAAGGTGAAGATTTTTAGGAAAGTAAACCCAAACAAAATTGGTCCAAAAATATCTGAGAAGTCTGCAACTGATGACTACGGGTGTAACAAAAACTGGTCAGATTGATATTGTGAATATTTGGGCAAGTTGCTTCACATCTTTGGACCTAGTTTATCATTTTTAAAAAAGAAGGCTATTGAATATATATTTAAAACAAAGTTTCTAATATCATCTTGCAGAACTATGAAGTGTAAGGGAAAGCATTTTTGGTGCCTAATAAATGTCAGGGCCTTCTGTTATGCATTTCCTAATATTTAAGGCTAATCATTTAAGGCTTTTGACACTGATTTTGAGCCCGTCTTAACCTGCATATGGGTTTTGTCCCCAACAGAAACTGGATGTAATAAAACACTGCTTGACTGGGGGGCAGGTACAGTTTTCAGAGGTGGTGATGATACTTTTTTTTATTCTTATTTTCAAAATAGAGACTGTAGCCTTCAAAAAGATTTTGTAATCCCTCACTGCTTTCCTTCTAAGATTCTTTGGGTCTCTGAAAGCCATGAGTGTTTGTATCTAAATAAGAATCGGGAGCTAGCCTGGAGATTCTGAAGCTTAAAGAATCAGTTTTCTTCTTTTGGGTCTGTAGGGGAACAGGGAGACCAGCAAACCTTTTGCAGAATGTTCTCTTCCCCTGATAGTGAAAAAAAAAAAAAGCAGAAAAATTAGCAACATGATATTGAAATCTGAGCAATGACCTTTAGGAAATGTTAAAGGGATAGTGGCAGTGACTATGAAAAGAGAGTAGTTTTTGAACGGGGTTAATTTTCCCTCCAAATCATACTTTGAAACATGAAGTTAAAGCAGTAAGTTTTGTGATCACAAAATAAAAATTGCCAAGGGCGTATCATTCAAGGCTAAAAGTGCTGAGAACAGGAGAAAGTTTAAAATAGAATTATGTATTTCTTAGATGTCAAGATACATAAACTTCCTTATGATCACAGAGATAGTGCTGTTTCAAAATGCTCCCAAAATGGATTCTATATTATTTATTTTCCAAATTTAGAATTTGATATTTTTGCTAACTGAGCAATGAGGTTGTATGTGAAAATTAAAAAAAAAGACAGTTACGATTACAGGTCTTGCTGTGGCACTTTAATCATATTTAATTCACTTTTCTAACAACAATTTAATATATTAGGAAATATTTCAAAATGTAAATATAGGTTTTATCAATTTGCAAAGCGATTGCTTGATGGTAATAGATTCTTCTTAAACATCAAGTCACGACATCTATCTCATTCCTGACTCAAGTTCCTGGTCTATTTTGGTGAATATACTATGTGTATTTAGGGTGGAAAAGTATATTCTGGAGTTGGTGGATTCTTGTTTTACAAATATCAACTAGATCAAGAGAGCTAATAGTGTTGTTTAGATCCTATAAGGTTTACTAATATATTTTTGTAGTCGTTTGAAAATATTATTTTTATTACTCAAAAAGATCCTGTAAGATGAAAACAAAAATACCATGATATTAAAGGTCCTCACTGAAACCACACTTGGCAAAATGTCTACTCAAATTACATAGATTTACATAATTTTAATAACAATCATCAAAAAATTAAACACTGAATTCCCTTTACTCATTTTTTCTACAAGTATGTTTTGTATAGTTTCTTTTTTTTTTTTTCTTTTGGGACTTTCATTTTAGGTTCAGAGATACATGCACAGGTTTAGTCTATAGGTAAATTGCATGTTACAGGGATTTGGTACATGGATTATTTTTTCACCAAAAAATAATAAGCTTAGTGCCCAATAGATAGTTTTTCAGTCCTCACTCTCCTCCCATTCTCCACCCTCAAGTAGATCTCAGTGTCTGTTATTTTCTTCTTTGTGTCTATGTGTATTCAATGTTTAGCTTCCACTTATAAGTGACAACATGCAGTATTTGGTTTTCTGTCCTGATCAGTTTGCTCAGGATTATGACCTCCAGCTCCAACCATGTCACCACAGAGGACATGAATACTTTTTTTTTTTTTTTTTTTTTTAATGGTTGCGTGTTTCCCATTTGCTTGGTTGATTTTCTCCATCCCTTTATTTTGAGCCTATCCATGTTATTGCATGTGAGATGGATGCCTTGAAAACACCACACCAATGAATTTTGCTTCTTTATCCAGCTTGCAATGCTGTGCCTTTTAATTGATGCATTTAGCCCGTTGCCATTTAAGGTTAATATTGATACATGCAGATTTAATCCTGTCATCTTGTTTTTAGCTGGTATTATACAGACTTGATTGTGTAGTTACTTTACAGTATCAATGGTCTATGTGCTTGTGTGTTTTTATGGTTGCTGGTAATGATCTTTCCGTACACATTTAATACTCCTTTCACAATCTCATATAAGGCATATCTGATGGTAATTCTTTTATTATTTGCTTATCTGAAAAGGATCTTATTTCTCCTTTGCTTATGAAGCTTAGTTTGGCAGAATAAGAAATTCTTATTTGGATTTTATTTTCTTTAAAAATACTGAATCTAAGCTCTCAATCTCTTCTGCCTTGTAGGATTTCTGCTGAAAGGTCTGCTATTAGCTTGATGGGGTTGTCTTTGTAAGCAACCTGTCCCTTCTCTTTAGCTGCCTTTAACATTTTTTCTTTCATTTCAGCCTTGGAGAATCAGGTGACTCTGTCTTGGCAATGATCGTCTTGTATAATATCTTGCAGGGGTTCTCTTCATTTCCTGGATTTGAATATTGGACTCTCTAGTGAGGTTGAGTAATTTTTCATTGACATTATCTTGAAATATGCTTTCCAAATTGCTTGCTCTCTCTCCCTCACTTTCAAGGATGCCAATGCATCAGAGATTTGGTCTCTTTACATAATCTCATGTTTCTTGGAGGTTTTGTTTATTCTTTTTATATCCTTTTTTCTTTCTTTTTGCCGGACCGAGTTACTTTGGAGAACTGGTCTTCAAGCTCTGAGAGTCTTTCCTCAGCATGGTCTACCCTGCTGTTAATACTTGCAATTGTATTGTGAAATTCTCAAAGTGAGATTTTCAGCTCTGTCACTCTATCACATCAGTTTGGTTCTTTCTTAAATGACCATTTCATCTTTCAGCTCCTGTATTGCATTATTGTATTCCTTAGTTTCATAAGATTGGGTTTCAGTTTTCTCCCAGATCTTGATCATCTTCATTCCTATCCATATTCTGAAGTCTATATCTGTCATTTCTGTCTTTTCAGCCTAGTTAAGAACCATCACTGAAGAACTGGAGTGATCATTTGGAGGTAAAAAGACACGCTGGCTTTTTGAGTTGCCAGAGTTTTTGCACTGGTTCTTTCTTACCTTTGATATTACTGTCCTTTGGATGGAGATTTTGGCTTTTATCTTCTTTGATGCCCTGGGAGTTTGATTGTGGCATATGATGGGTTCAGTCAACTGGCTTCATTTCTGGAAGATTTTAGAAAGCCAAGGCTCACTCGACACTGCTGGGCTGCATGTTTTAACTCTTGGGGCCTGGTACTGGGTCCCTGGCCTTGTTCTCTGGCCCCTCAAGGTTAGGAAGCTGCTGCACTGGAGAGGTTGAGCTGTTCTTGTCCTCTGGCCACCACACTCTGATGGGGAGGGGTGCTGGCCAAAGCATGTCACTGGAGTGGTGGCAGTGGGATCCATGCTGGCTCATGCATGCCAGCAGTCACAGCAATGTGGCAGGGTGCACACACGTTGACTTGGGCAAGGCGACTGTGGGAGCAGGGAGGTGGTGTTCTTGCACATATTTATGCCAGTGATGACAGCACAGCAAGGGCAGTACACTAGCAGAGATGGAGTTGCTTGTGTCCATGTGTGCATTCACACTGGCTGCATTGCTGGTGGTGGTGGTGGGGGTCGGAGGGGAGCAGTGTTGCCAGCATCTGTGCACAGAACCTGCATGTTAATGGCATGGGGAAGCAACAGGGTGGACTCATACAAGCACAGCGATGGAGGATGGCCATGAGCAAATGCATGTCAGTAAAGCATTATGGGAGGGCTGTGATGGGGTGAGGCTGTGGGTGAGCTGGTTCATGTAAGTGGGGCCTGGTCTGGTGGAGTTCTCTGATAATCAGGCACAGTCTGCCATTGAAGGAGCTATGATGAGGGTTCCTAGAAGCACCCCTGTTGGGTGTCCAAGGTTGCATTTCAAGCAAGCATGACCAGACTGGCTCCCCAAGAGAGGCCAGCAGGCAAGACAGTAGCAGATCAGGCATCAGGCCTCATCCCATGAGCAAGACTTCCCTGCTTTGTCTAGCTCTAACAGTCATATTGAGGCTAAAGTATCCTGGAGAAGCATAGTGAGCCTTGAAGGATGGACGTCCTTGGCTGTGCTTCACTGCGGCTGTTCTCGCACCACTCTGGGCTCTGCACAGGCTGGAGTCCTGCCCATGTGACCTCTCTAAGCAGCTTTTCCTACCATCTCAAATGCCCATAGAGGTTGGGGGACCTACCAGAATGGGTCCATGGTGAGAGTGGGTCACTCCTCACCAGTAAACTCACCCTTTCCCCGGGAGTCTCTGAGGGTCAGGTACAAGTCCTGAGGCTCAGCCACAATATGCAGGGTTCCCAGCTTCCTCTCTCTTCAGCCCAGCATCTGCATCCTCTCTGCATCCACTCTTAATGTCTTCCATCAGAAGATCTGCTCAGAGGTGTGTTACAGTCTTTCCAATGTCCTGGTCTCTCAGTGGGTGATATTTCTCCTGGTACATCTAGTCAGCAATCTTGGCAATTCTCCAAGGTTCTCTGATAAAACAAACAAACAACAACAACAACAAATATATGTATGTATATCTGTATATTAGTTTCTAAGACAGGGAGAAATTTTTAAATGATCATCCAATTATTTATTTCTTCCTTTAAACCTGTTTTGCTTTATATGTTTTAAGGTCCTATTATTAGGTGTAGGTGTATACATATTCATGATTATTATATGTTCCAAATCGATTCACCTCTTAACGTTATAAAATAATGCTCTTTATATTATCAATACTTATATGTTAATAATACTTTGTCTTCAAGTCTATTTTATCTGACATTAATATAGTTTCACTAGATTTCTTATGCTTACATTTTCTTATTACATGATGTATCTTTTTCTAACAATTACTTTTAACTTGTTTATATTAATGTGCTTCTCTTTGTGATAGAATATAATTACATCTTCCTTTATTTCTAATAATCTCTGCCTTTTAATTAGAGTGTTTTTAATCAATATTTAATGGCATTATTGATTACGTTAAATTCAGGTCTACCATTTTATTATTTGTTCACTGTGTATAACATTTCTCCCTCTTTCTTTCCCTATTCTTGTCTTCTTTTATTTGTAGTGTTTTAGAATTTAGCTTTTAAACTATATCTATTTGCTTTTTCTTTTCAAGTGGTTGCTCCAGGGATTACTATGTGCACTCTATTTTTCTCAGTCTACTTAGAGTATTAATATGTAGAAACCTTGCATATAAGTAAGTTCACTTATCCACACGCCCTCCACTATGCTTTATGTAATTTTAACATCTGGGTTATCTCTAATTTGTCATCTGTTGTTTGCCTTTTTCTTTGCAATAAAGCCACATTTTTCTCACACACACATATGAGTAATTTTAGATTGTCTCCTGGAAGTTGTGAATGTTATGTTTTATAGACTCTATTGTATTACATTGTTTTAAGGACTATTGTTTTGTTTTAGGAGGCAATTCACTTAGAATCATATTGTCAATTCTCACACCTGTGGTGGGTGGTGGCTCAGATATTAGATCAATTCTTTTTTTTTTTTTTTTTTGAGATGGAGTCTGGCTCTGTCGCCCAGCCTGGAGTGCAGTGGCCGGATCTCAGCTCACTGCAAGCTCCGCCTCCCGGGTTCACGCCATTCTCCTGCCTCAGCCTCCCCAGTAGTTGGGACTACAGGTGCTGCCACCTCGCCTGGCTAATTTTTTGTATTTTTTTTTTTTTTTAGTAGAGACGGGGTTTCACCGGGTTAGCCAGGATGGTCTCGATCTCCTGACCTCGTGATCCGCCCATCTCGGCCTCCCAAAGTATCAGATCAATTCTTAAATCTTTGGATGTACACTATTTTCAGTTTGTCATGCACAACAGGTTCAATAGTCAGCCAGTGACAGGCTGAGTTAAACCATGAGACTTGGGGTTCAACTTCTCTGTGCCTCAGCTTTCTGAGTACCTTCCTTTATTCTCTGGTAGCCTGGGTTGTTTGATCTTCCTTGATGAGTACCTTTGGCCAGAAGGACTGGGTTCTCTATCACAGATTTGCATTTGTTTTTGCTTTCAAGGCAATGCCTGTGGCCACTCTTAGGGAAAACTCACAAAATCCAGGGAACTCATTATATGCCAGTCACTTGCTACAGGTTTCTAGTCCAATCCAACGTCTATGAACACTGTTCAACTTCTAGAGTTCTATGTTAGATTTTAGTGTCATTGATTTGTTTTTCAAATTTGAAAACTGTTATTTGTAGAAGAAATTGACCTGTTAGGCACCCAGTCTTCCAAGACAGAAGGCCAAATTCTCATTAATTTCTTTATTTCCCTTCCTCTTGAAGGAAAGGCCTGAGAATCATTTAACTCCAGTTACCCACTTCCAAAAGCACATGCTGCTAAGTCTTACATTTTAATTACCTTGATGTTTTAGACTCCACATTACATCATTCTTATTGTTTTATGCTTTCAATATTAATTCAACTCCACAATACATCTTTCTTATTATTTTATACTTTCAATATTAGTTCACCTTTACTTTTTTATGTACTCTTCTTGATGCACTATACTTCTTTCTATATTTCTGAGCTGTATCTTACATTATTTTCTTCTGCCTGAAAAAAATATTTTAGCTTTTTCTTCAGTGATGGTACACTGAAAATTTTTCTCGTTTTTCTTTGTCAGAAAGTGTCTTTATTTTACTCTTACTCTTGAATAATATTTTCAAAAACTTGTAGTTTTGCAATTATTTCATTTCACCAATTTGACAATACGATTTCTTTTCCTTCCTGTCTTTATTATTTCTGTTGAAAAGTTGGCTTTCATTCTAATTGCTGTTCCCTGAAAATAATTTATTCATATAATCTATATTATTTTTTCTTTGAATTTAGCTTCAATACTGCTATGATCATAATCCTGAAGTGATTTTCTTTTAAATGTTCCTACTTGGGATTTGTAGGATTTGTAGGATTTGTAAGCTTCTAAGCTTGATGCTTTTCCTCAATTAAAAACAAATTCTTTATCATTATGTTCTCTAATATCATTTGTGTCCTATCTTCTCTTCTCTTTTATTTTGGGTTTAAATTACATATAAGCAGACCTACATACGATCTTTCTTTTTTCTCTTTTTATATTTTCTAGACTTATATATATATAATTTTGTTTTGTTAATAGAAATTTAACAAATTTCTAATTTGTTAAATTAATCTAGTTAATCTAGTTCTAATCTAGTTCACAAATTCTCTCTTGTCTGCTGTTAATTCCACCATTTGAGTTTTTCACTTTGGTGTTTAGGTTTCTCGGTTATAGAATTTCAATGTAGTTCTTTTCAGTTTCAAGCTTAAATTATTTTATTCCTGCCCTTAACTTCTTAATTTAGTAAGTATACTTATTTTAAAACCTGGAATTGACAACTTCCCCCAGTGAATCTGTTTCTATTCTTATCATTATTGATACTACTTTCCAGTCATGTTATTTTTACAGCTTATATAACTAGCATTTTGATTTCATGTTTTAAATATTGTATTTTCATTTTTAAAATGTCAGCCTTAATTTTAGATACAGAGGTACATGTACATATTTGTTACATGGGAATATTGCCTGATGCTGAAATTTGGAGTATGGATCCCGTCACCCTGGTAGTAAGCATAGTACTCATTGGGTATTTTTTGTAACCCAGCCCCTCTCCTTCCATCCTCTAGTAGTTCCTAATGTTTATTGTTTCCATACTTATGTCCATGTGTGCCAGTATTTTCAAAGCTTTGTAGATAGTTTGGGTAATAGAAACATTTTGTTTTTCCCAAAAGTATTTACATTATTATATTCAAAGTACCTAGCCATCTGGGATTACTCAAAGCTGAGATGCCCACAAAGCTGAACCGCAGTCCCTGAAGAAGCTGTCTTCTTCGGTATCACAGTTACTCTCTAGTGAGGTTCTTTAGAGTTCCATCTCAGTGTAAGGGAGATGCATCAGGGCTTTCACTGGTATGCCTTGCACCCATAGGCTTTCACTCTAGCCTTTAGGCTATCAAATGAGCCATCCATCCTTTTATTCTGTCAGCTCCCCCGTAGATTTTTTTACTTACTCCCAGGGGAAACATAACTCAAATTCCTCTGATTTTCAATCTTTCCATGCATCCCAGCCTGGTAATTCCTCACCATTATGCTATCTCGCTATTGCTTTCAAGCGAAATTGTTTATATATTGACAAGTTTTTCATTTGACTTCCAGGGGATAGTTGGACCAAGTTACCTGATCTGCCATTATAGGAAGCAAAAATGTAAAGTTAAATATTTTTTTAAATTCATAGTATAAGAAGACAACTATTATTTAACTGTAATAATATTATTTGATGGGGTAATTACAGCAAGTTAGGGAAATAATCAAATACTACCTGCGATAGTCAAAATAATCAAATCTATGTACTTTACCAAAATTTTTAAATTAGCATATAGTATTTGCTATTTTTGTAAGAAAGGATATTTTTTCAAAGCATTATTTATAAATACTACAGAGTATTCTTTATTTAGACATATAATGACTTACCCTGCTGTATCCCTCTTTCACAATAAATATCCTTCTGCATAAATCATTATTATGTTTGCTAGTAGTTTGGATTTTCAGTTTTTCCTTTCATTTAGAAAAATGGCTCTTGTATTTATTTAATGTAACCAGCAAATATTCATTGCTTAGTTCTATTTTACCAATTTCTTTTATAAATATTATTATTCTGGTTTTCCACAAGTTTGACCTTTTTTTCTGACTTTCTATCTTAAATGCTCAGTACACATATTTCTACTGGCTTTCATGTTTTAAAAATGTGTTTCAGGCCACAGATATGTCATGGTTACAGTGTTATGTTGTTAATTTCTAATATAATTCATTATGTTATATACTATTTATTATGTTTTATTGTTAAATTTCTATATATTCTAGAACTATCATTATTTTACTCTTTTACCTGAGGGCAATTTACAATGACCACTTTTTCACATGACTCAAAAAAGTTTATAATTCTGACACTCCTGACTTATGACCACAGACAATGGGCATGAGATTTAAAATTATATTACAGAACAAAACTGTGTCATTTTGGTTTGATAGTAAATGTTTAATTTAACCTTTTCACTCTTAAATCCTATTTTATTTTGCTCTATTGTATTGCTTGCTCTGAAGAAAGTGGTTACCATGTTTTGAGTGAGCACATGGATGTGAGACCTACCCACAGTAAAATGAGAGGGCTTGGAAGCAGATCCCCCTACAACTGAGCTTGAGATGACTCCAGACCTGGCCAGCACCTCAATTATAACCTTGTCAGTAACGCTGAGACAGAACCATTCTCAGGGTTCTGTCTCACCACCCTGAACCGCCCCAGGTGGTTACAGTCTGTGAGAAAAATAAATGTTTGTTGCTTCAAGCCACTAAGTTTTGGAGTAATGTATTACACAAGAAAGAGATAACTAGTATACATCTCATTTCTTTTCTACCAATATTAAATAATTAATAAAATTTCAAGTGACAAGGTAACATATAGGAAAAAG